CGGGCAAGCCTGCCTCAGTGCCCCCTACCCTGCAGCAGCCGGACGTTTTAAACGACGCGCGTATCATATGACATGCGTGTGATGTTGATACAACAGTCTGCTTAGTGTCATGGCTACTTTCACGTGCTTTGTTCAAAGAGTGAAACTAAGAACGCTTGGCAAATAAATTCCACGGTCAGCTCAGATGCAAGATGTCCAAAAAGTGGCCTGAATGTGTGCTGAATGAGTAGCTCGGACGGAGAAAGGAGTTCATTGGATGCAGGCAGCATAAAAAGAAAGCAACAGTTGCATCGCACGTCCATGGAAATGTAGCAAAGGACTGCAAAAGTGATCAATGTCGTCTCTGCTTTCCCGTGTGTGCTCAAAAGGGATTCACAAATGTCAGGTACTGGTAAGTCAGAGTCGGGATGACACGTTTTTGCAGATCTTCCCAGCAGCAAAGATATAAACAAAAACTTACAATGTCCGTAAATTGCGCAGCAAGCCGCAGGTAGCAACATCGCGGGTAGTTTGGACAATCCGACACAAAGCCTTGAAACACATTTTGGTCAAACAATCATTGGGCACGCAGTGCTGGTCCAGCAACTTTATATAGTGAAGGAAACGCTTTTCCGATAGCAAACAATTTGATGTCTCGGATTTTTTTCAAAGTCATTCGTTGATACACAACAAATTGCACAATGGCGCTTTTTGAGCCCGACATGCCTCAAGAGGATGTTCAAAAACACCGACACTTTTTACAAACAACGACAAGGGACGGGATCTTACACTACAAGCAAGCAAAAGGAGCCAGTCCCGCGAAAAAATCCGTCAGAATGATTACGGGAAGACTGCGGGAAGACTTCGGGAAGACTGCGGAAAGACTGCGGGAAGACTACGGGAAGAGCGTGCCAGTCCCGCTAGAATTCCGTGAGAATTCCGGGGGAAAAGTACGGGAAGACTGCGGGAAGATTACGGGAAGAGCGCGCCAGTCCCGCTAGATTTCTGTGAGAACTTCGTCAGAATTCCGTCAGAATTCTGCGGGAAGACTATGGGAGACTACGGTGCAGGGTCTACCCTGGATCGCTGCAGCTGTCGACTTCGCGATTCGCGTGACTGTGTGTAGGTTTTTGGTTCTTGGTTTCTGGAGTCAAAACGGGAATTGAGAGACGCGCATGCTTTTGCGGATTGCTTTGGCTGAAGAAACAGAAGGCTTGCTTCAGAAGGACTGGGCGCAATGCTGTTCGTGACTGTGTGGAGCCCCGTGAGCTGGACGGACTCGGCGAAATTCTGCCGCTGCCTTGTGCCGCGAGCCTTTTCAGGATCAAGAATCGGCTTTGGGAGTCCATCTTTCAACACGTCTGGCTTGCATGTTTTGTTTTTTGCGGGGGCGACGCCGCTGCGCGTGGAAATGTGTGACCGCTCTTAAGAGCGCAGTGGACCCGAGTCCATTTAAGCGTAAGAGCTCAAAGACACAGCGGTCACGCCACACTTGCCGCAAGGAGGGCGCGCAGACGACAAAACGGCCGGTGCATTGTCCCGCCGTTGTGGGAGTAACTTTGGGTGTCTTGCATGAGCGCTCCCAAGCTCAGGTATCCAAGTTCATCCACTGACAAGCCCGCAGGCAAACGAGATGTGCTTCTAGCTGTTGCAAGTCCGACGTTCTAGCTGTTGCGAGTCCGACGTTTGAGGGAGGACATGCCCCCAAGTAGTCCAAAGCCTCCAGAATTGTCCTGAATTGTTACTATCCTGGGCCATCCTTGTTCGGCGCCGAGCTGCCGCAAGTCCCAGAGAACGCGGCAGGAGTGCTCTTCGCCCATGCAGAATCCGCTCGTCCGGGCGCCTCCAAAGCGAAACACCGGCCGTTCCGAGTGCTCATCTCCTTGTTCTACCAGGCATATCTTTGATGCCTTCTGAAGGATCATGCAAGTGAGAACGAGGCGCGTCTGGAATGAGCCGTTTTGGGAGGAGTGTTTCTTCCGTGTCTTCAGAAGAGTTGTACGGGCGGCCAACAAACGCCTGAAAGAATGTTTCGGCGCCTGAAGCGCTACCTGGCGAAGTAGTGGATGGTTGAGTCAGCTGGGAGGACGCGTAGGGCCCGGACCTATTACTTTCTCAGATGGCTGCAGATGATGCAGCGTTCCTACCATTTCTCGATACCCACGCTGCTGCAGAAGGCAAGGGCATTAACTTGCTGTTGGCTTCTGCCAGGAAACAAAGGCGATCTCATCGTGGCAATGGTCTGAGCAAGACCACCTTGTTCAGGGAGGAAAGGGCTCTGTGACACTGCTTGAGCAAACAAGGAGTTGCTGTGTGATTCTCCACCTCTCCCCTCAGCAACTCGAGAGGCATAGCTTGCAAGCATCTTTTTTCTCTAGTTTTGTTTTCTTGGCCGCCTGAATCTGATAATTTGCCAGTGACTAGGTTTGCGCACTTGTCGTGCTAGTGCCTGTTCCAGCCGGCGCTTTGTGAGTTCTGTGCGTCGCTTGAACGCCCAAAACCTGGCGGCGCTTCAGCGCTGTCTCCGACATGCCTCGTCCGCTTTTGACGGTCTAGGTTGGCCAAAGTGATTGACACCTCCAACATCACACCAGTGGCTTTTCTCCGCTTTCCAAAAGTAGATGCCGTTCTGGTCCGTACGTTGAAGTGGTCGACACCTCCAGAATCTCCAGTGTTCTGGTCAGGCAAGCAAAGTGAACAAACCAATGGAAACTCGGACGGTTCTCTTCGGCCCAAGCCTTTGGGGCGCATCATTGTCCCAGGCTCGCTACATTGTAGTCGCGTTCCATGCTCAGAACGATTCAGCTTCCTGCGTGCGCGTGAAGTAGGAAAAAGGCAGAGTCGTCTGTTGTTTGGGGTTGTTGCCAAGAAGACAGCAATAGCAGGATAGCTCATGGGACAGAGGAACTAAATCAAAAACAGTGACACTGAGAAGACCTATCCAAAAGGAAGTCCTCCACTACATATCTGCATGTACGTATAGACATATACATTGGTTGGTGCAAGATGGTACCACATGTACATCGTCACATTCCGGACTACAGATCTTTTCTGAGTTGTTAGATCCTTGTGCAAGGCCTGAAAAAGAACACAAGATTGCGAAGATGTGAGAAGGGTAACCGTTTGAAGGACAACTTGTACCGAGCCATGGTGGGACCTCCGAAAAATAGGGAGCATCGCCACTAAGATGAGGATCACAGGGCTGCCAAAGCTCTTCGGAGCTGTGAGCATGAGATTGGTCCGTTGATTTGGCTCAGCTCCAGTGGATGCCCTGCCGACCATGGGCCTGGGGTGACTCGGTGACTCGGTGCAGAGAGAGTTGACGAATTCAGCGAAGCCGTTGTCAATCGCCAAATTCTACTTTTCAAGAGGGACCAACCAGGAGTGTGCGTATAAATCATCCTCCTGATGGGAAGCTCAGACCTCTTCTGACCGTGTGCCGTTTCAAGCGGTCGCTTGTGCCTCTCCTGCTTGGTGCAGGTGTTGCAGTCAGTTTCACGCACAGCAAGAAACAATCCAGGTGCCTCGAATGTTTTTGTTTGCCGTTTGGCTGTCAAAGCAAGGGACCCTTGCAAATGGCTGGTTTGGTTTTGCTTTAGTTTGGAAACTGTTCGCGGTCCCAGGTTTGACACACACACACACACACAGCCAGTTGATTCGGACACTGCCTCAATTCGAGCTCAATCTCAAGTTCGTTGCACCGGGCTTCGCAGACCATTCATGTCGGGCTGTTCGTCTCGGGCAGTCTTGGGTCATGTTGGATAGCTCGCAAGACCCACAGGCAAACCAAGGAGCTTGTGCTCCTTTGACACAATTATCGGTTGCACTTATTCCCGTCCGAACTACACAATTACATAAGTCGGGTAAGCTGTGATACGCATGATTTAACTCTATTAAAAGCACGCAGATGGATCGATTCACGCATTGGGGTCTCAGCCAATCCCGAGTTCAGCTCGGCCTTGGGGCAGGTTCCAGGAGGTTCCAAGCATGTAAATAGTTGGCTGTCGTGTTCAGGATGCAGGAACATGGCACTGCCTTCCAATTTGAAGGGGCCAGGTTTCGCCAGGTTTTGAAATTGAGGTTCCTTTTGGTGGTTAGTGATGTTTATAGGCTAAAAATAAAGGGAACCCATTTCTCCTCTCTGGGACACTCACCCACACGCACACGTAGCAGACAGGCTGAGGCGTTGAGCCGTTGAGCCGTTGAGCCGTTGAGCCTGGAGGACTCAACGAGGAGGGGGGAGGGGGTAAGGAACGAAAGGCCAGGGACTCTGCGGAATCCTTGACCCTCACATGTGCCACGGTCAAGCACCTGTTTCGGCTTGGTGGGGGCTGCTCACGAATCCCTGAATGAAGAACTTTGACAATTGCAAGTGTGCCTTCTAAGAAAAACATGACTGTGTCCCACATGAGGAATTTCTGACCATGACACACATCAGCTGGTGCAAACAGCCAGTCCACCATGCAAAATGCGCTCCAGGACTTGGCCTAGGCTTGAACATGTGAGACGCCTACTCATATAGAGTTGAAGCTTACGCGCCCGTACGTGTTGCGACCATACATTTTAGGAATGGTGTAAGAGCGTGCCACTGCTAGATGCACTAGCAGTGGCATTGGAAGGGATGTGTGCATGGGCAACGGTGGAATCGCTTGTTGATGTTTGGAAGACTCAGGGATGCAGTTAGTTTTCCATTCATGCATGACGTGTCAGTGTAACTCATGCTGAAATAGGTACTTCCAAAGCCTAGATTGCTTTGGATTGCCAAAGGCCTCCGGTGTTTTGACGTTCGCCTTGATCCAACTCCTCAGCCTTCGGGTTCTCTGACACGATTTCTTACCTGAGCTTTATCAACCTGTACACGTGGTGGACATTTGGAAGCATCCGACCAAACCAATCTCCGCTTTTCAGTTTCAGCTACGGGAAAGCGACGGGGACCAGCAGCTTTTGTAGAAAGACGTGTTCCACTGTCATGGCGGATATGGCTTTGTGCATATTTGGCCTTCGACCTTGATCAGGTGTCGATGACGACCAGTGGCAGCTCGCCGTGCCCCATGCCGTTGGGGGGGGGGTGGAGAAACAGTTCAAGACTTGCTTTGCCACTTGTGGTCAATAGCTGTCATGAGAGGCTATTGGGATCCGACCCCCAAGGCGTTCTTGCATAGGCCTGAGGTGAGCCATTGGGCCAGATCCATCCGCTTCACGAATGCGGTGTGGGTTTTCCGTTTGCAGATTTATGATAGATCTTTGATTTGAGGCCCAGGTTTGGTTGCAGGTTTCACTGCAAGCCCCTTTACTTTGGACAAAATCGACCTTGCAGGGCAAAAGTTCACGTGTCTAACACCCGGCGCGGTTGTGAGGTGTGCACCAAAGTTTAGACGACACACGGACAAAGGTTGCAGAGTCCTTCGTTTTGGTTCGTTATGTTCTTTGTGAGCTAGAACCCCATTATTTGAATGTTGATGATGGACTACTTGGCGTTGATGGTTCCTTTTCGTTTCCTCCACCACCACTGGCGGCTCCTGTTCCTTTCCGGGACATGACTCTGCACGCTTGCGGGAATGTATGTGGCTTGCAGGTACAAGCTTATATGCAGCAAGACGGCAGTGGACGCCTCCAAGTTCAGCACCTTGCTCAAGCAGGACCCAAAACGCGTTTTGGGTTCTGCCCGAAGGCTGAAGACCCACGGGGTCCGGCTTCAATCCGGATGTCCGAGAAGACATCACACACAGGGCAGCCATCCTTGTCCGGGCTGTGAGGCAAGGGAACGTGGTGAGCAGCTGTGTATGGTTTTGCGAGTTGAGAATCGGAACAAAGGAGGCAGAAAGGTGGTACTGGCAAAGAGGCAATCCTCTTCCACACTTTCATGCACAAAGCAGAAGCGTGCCTGTTTCAAGTGCACCTCGGTCCACTTCTGCTAGCTTTGACATGTGTTTGGTGACTTGAGGGAGGATTAGAGTCCCCTTAGCTAGGTGTAAGCTGAGTGGTGACTTGGCTTCGAATTGGTTCGCTTGTGTCGCCCAGGGCTAGACGGAACATCATCTCTCCAAATGGAAAGCTTCACTTTGGAGTTTGGCTGAAGCAGGATGCATCCAGAAGAATCACCATTCTGGCAACGCCGTCGCAGCCATCAACAGCAATTCATGCATGCAACGACGAAGTAAACAAACTATGGCCACTGCCCAAGCCTTGTGGACTATGACCTGGATCAGGCAAACATAAGATGACAGCCACCTTCCCTGTCCGTTTTAGGACTGCGATGCTTTCCGCAGGAGCTCCTGAGTTTCGAGGAAGTGGATTTCTCCGAGTGTAACTTGACTGGCGACTCCGCCAAGGGCGACACTTTGAAAGTGGTGCCCTGGCTCCCATTTTAACTCGGGGAACTTTCCTCTCCACCACCCTGTGAGGCGTTGCTAGGCGCAAGCTTCGGGGTCATGGAAAGGATAGATGATGAGGAGAGGGGAGGATGGAGTAAGATGAAGGAGGATAAACCCGCTGTGAAGTTTTTTCCCTTTGTTCCACCCGGCATGCCTTTAGTTCTCATTTACCTCTCTGCATCCATGTGGATCAAAAGGGGGGGTCATTGTCTGGAGCGGGGTTGCTTCGCTTGAAGGGCGACGGCCCAAACAAGTCTGCTTGCTTGCAGAGCATCTCATGACACCGAGGTGGGCCAAGGACATTGTTGACGAGTAAATATCTTCTTATTTGTATACATTGCTCAAACAATAAGAGCCTCTTTGGATGGATTCCAAAGGCACGACAAATTTAGAGCAGGGAGGGGCCCATGTTCGTGGGGCTCAACCAAAGCTTCCCCGCTTGCGAGTTTTTGGAGGTCTACGCACGGTGTGGTGTGAACTGCTGAATTCCAAACCCTTTTCTACAACCCCGTACCAGAACGGAAACCTTTCATTTCACGCTGCAGGCCGCTCAAGAAGCCCCTCCCTTTTTGGTACGAGTTTTTGGCGGCAATGAGTTCCTTGGCTTTTTGTAAGCCTCCCCTGATCAGAAGCAACCTTCGATCGAACGTGCTCATCTCCTCGTGAGGTTTTGGAACTTTGCAGCAAGTGCCCCAAGCTGAGAATCTTGAAGTGGGCCTGGCCTGTGTTCGCAGAGTCACACCACTCGGGTAGGGCCTGGGTTCCCGGTGGTTGCACTACAAATGTCGGGGAACTACAACGGTCCCCGACATTTGGCCATCGGTATCAGTCAGCTGTTTCAATCTATACCGAGCCGCATGGGGAAGAGTGGTCAATGCACAATTAGAGAAAGTTGGATAGTGTCGGTCAGTCTCATTTGTTTGCCTGGTGCCCCAACCAATCGCTACTACACATTTTGCACATACGTATACTAATGTATGTGCACATGAAAAGGTACTCATGCTGGCAGATGCTGCACATTACACAAGCAGATCAGTTTGACTTGGGAGCCCTAAGAGGGACATGTCCAAGGCCCTTTCCAGCAGTTGTTGGCAACCCTCTGTCTTGCTGATGATTTTTGGAGTGATGCTTAGACATGTGTTCAGATAGAGTGCAAATGGATTGCGATTGGACATGCTCGCGCTTCGGGCGGTGTCAGTCCGCAAGTTGCACGGCCAGGCTGTTCAAGAACCAGCTAGATGACAAAGCTGCAGACAGCATGGCGCCAAGCTGTGAGAGAACGGTCTCAATTGGCAGATTCGTGGTGTCTTCATCTTGGATTCTAGCACTTGGACTCGCAAATTGTGCAGCTCCGCAACGACATGTGCAAATGTGCAAGTATTGGGGAACTAGCGGTAAGAGCTCATGGAAGTGGGTTCGACAAGAAAGTGCTGTATGGAACATACCCTTGGAGTGATAGGTGTATGATTAGATGTGCTTGCCTTTTGGTTTCCTTGCAGTCCGTACATGTAAGGGCTGGACAGGGAAAACCAATGTTCTGGAAACCAAGCAGGACGGTCAGTACATTTTCGTGAAAGTTGGCTGCAAGGATTTGAGATCGCAATGTCAACACGTATGCAGACTATGCATATTCCAAAACAATTCCGTGCCTAGGCGTGCCCAACGCCTTGCCTAAAGTTTCATAAGTCAGACCGCTTGACTAACCCACGCGCTGCTCGAAGCGGATCTGCGACTTGAGGACTTGCCGATATGTTGCAGAAGGTGCCTGACTTGGAGGATGGGCTGACAAGACCCAGCTGCAGCCCAAAGCACTGGCTACCCAGCAGGTGTTTTCATAAAGCCATGGTCCCAATGGTTGTGTCATTCAATATGTGTCTCAAGATAGTCGAGGGCGTTTCTCATCGCACATATGCAAACAGCTTGCTGGTGTTCGAGCAGTCCAGTCCGAAGTCAAGAAACAAAGGACAAACCGCCACACAAGAGACAACGACAAACACACAAAAGAAGCAACCAACAAAACAGGATGCCTGAGGAAATTGCCCAAACTTGATGCTGATAGCATTGCGTGCTTGTGATTTCTTTTTCCGGTCCCCAAGACTTTTATTGTCAAGGTTGTCTGTCACACAGCGATGATGTTTTATTTGCTTTGCGATGCGAAACGTGTTCCCAATCTTGAAACAATGACAAAGCAGGCGTCGGGGGAAGAGGCCTATAATGGAGCATCGTTTCAAGATAAGGCCTGTACTGTCTGGCTAGGCTGGTGCACAAGCCGCAGCCAGCTGCAGCATCTTGTCATCGCAACTCAGGCTTTTGCGTGTTGAATATTTTGAATGCCTATCATCACAGTTGGTGGGATGTCGTTCCCCCCGTTTGCTCGGTTGAGGGGTGGCACACGTCGCGCGTGCAGGAGCTCCATCTCTCGCACAACATCTTCAGCTCGTCAGGTGTGAAGCGCCTGGTGGCGGCCGCCGCCTGGAGCCCCGAGCGCCCAAGCACTGCGCCTTGCGAACTCACGGTGAAGCGAGTTGAGAGGCCACAGATCGACTCTCGACTCTCCAGTTTTCGAAATCTTGCAGCTGTGCACTGGTTTTCCCAACGTCACCTAGTTCGAGTGCTTTGCACCATGTGCAGTGCAGTCCATTCGTAGCAAACCTTCAAAACGCTTTGCTTTCCAAAGCACAGCCCAGGGGCATCCGCCTTCGTGAAAGTCATGAGGCTGAGGCGCGGCCGGAGGAGAAAGTACAGCCGCTCTGGCTGCGGCTGGGTCCGGGGCCCCCAGAAGGTCGCTCCGTTTGGTGCTCGGCGCTGGTGATATGGTCATATGACATGGGTCGATGGCCTCACGAAACATGCTCCTTTCACATAGCTCCTGCGATCACCTATTTCGAAGTAGACGACTGTTCGGGTCCCATGGTTGTTGTTGGGGAGGGTTGGGACGGCCTCGGGACTTTTGCCCCCCAGCCTCAACCATGGCGCACCTGAGTATTGCCCGCTTTGAAGCCACTGCTTATGATACTGCCCCTGCGATGCCGGGAGGGACAGGGCTTTGGCAGGGGCATGCCTCTCTCTCTCTCATCTGAAAGCATTTGGAATGCCAAAGGCAACTAATGGGATCAGCGCGGGCTGAGGACTTCCGGGGAGCCTACCAGACGTGCATTTTGCGATTGTAAGGTATAGTTGGAGACCCTAAAATTTCGGGTCTCGCAAGCATCGCAGAACAGGACCTTCCACACATCTCTAGCTGGTGGCGCTTAGAATTGCATGCTTTTCGGAAGGGACTGTGCATTCGAGCTTTCTCTCAGAGGCGGCTCACTTGTTGAGGATGCGCCAGCCATGGTACCCTGGTGTCTGTTTGGTGCTTCATGAAATGAGATAAACACTCTGTCGACCAATGCCGGTTTTGATCCTTGCTTGCTGCTCAGAACAGAATTCCGTCGCGAGCCCGGATACGGTCTGCAGTCAACTGGAGGATGAATTCAGTGCCGGCAGCTCAGTTGTTGAGGCCGGCTTCTGATGTTCCAGTGGCAGGTTGCAACAGGGTTGGAGTCGAGTTTGCCTGTGAGCTTACCTGTCACTAGCATGGCATTCTTTGTAGAAAAGGAATAGATATGATACATGCAACGCTAGTAGACCGCAGCTTTGGGCATTATTAGGACCATTCAAGCCAGCCAGGGTAGCAAAGATGCATGAGGGCTGGGTGGCACGTGCTCTGCTTTGGCGAATTTCTCAAGGGTGCCATCGAGCAGACCAGAGTTAGCCCATGGGAGCAGAACAGTAGGACCGGTTCTCCGTTATGCTTTTCTCCTTGCAACCAGGTGTTTACCACAAACTGACCCACATCCCTATTCAACCGGCCGCTCGTTTGAGAGGCAAACGAGGGCTGAGGAGGTGCATAGGGTGAGGTAATGGGCCCGTTCCGAGCACCCTTCACAGTGAGCCAAACAACCGCGCCACGTTACCGTATGTTGAACTCAGAGGCCTCTTCTCATTCCTTTCATGCTTTGCTTCCTTTGAAGATCACCAAAATCAGGATCCCTCATGCCTGAACGTTCCTGTATCCGTGATACTGCTCCCGCCTTTTTCGATGGTGCCAAACCTGAGGTGTGCAAGCGAAGCGACACTGTGAGATGCACAGTTCGCGTTTGCATGAATAAGAAGAAGGCCGGGTCGACGTGTGAGACATGTGATGCGCGTGGAAAGGAGTTGCACGAGACCGTATGGAAGGTCATAGCCCGAGGCAGCGGTAGTGAAGCCCCTGGGAAGGAGAGTTGCAAGTAGCATGATTTAGTTTCTCGGCCCGAAACAAACCTGCCAGCTTGCGAAGAAGCATTGTTTCAGACAGTCTTACTAAGGCTTTGCGAGCACGAAGGAAGTGAGTGGATGGAGTGGCAGAGGTTTGTTAAAGCATGCAAAACTCACGTTTGAACCGCCCGGAACTTTAGTTTTAATGTTTCTAAAGGCTGCCTGTTTTTCCCCCCCAGCAAGAAACCCAACACAAATTCGCCCCCAGAGTTTACAGCAAGCACAGACAAAGGCTTTTCTAGGGAGTTTGTTTGTTTTCTGCACATGTAAGTTTGTTTGTCACTCCCGTCCAGGAAGTTAATTCTGAGCAAGATACTATCGATTTCATGGGCGAGTTTGATTCGCCCCCAGACTCTATACCTTGCCGAGAAATGGATGTTCTCTCAAGCTGTTTGTTTCAAGGCTGCAAACTGAACCTCAAACTAGTAGCGATATACTCAAACTGTCGGCCAACCGTCATCTATCGCCCTCTCCTTGGCCCCCCGCCACTTGGCTTCGCCGCTCAGCGCTCGGCCTTGCCACTCAGCTTCGCCACTCAGCTTCGCCGCCAGACTTCGCTTTACTCAAACCGTCGGCTGCCTTTGCCACACCTACCGCGAACGAGACAAATCCGCAATCACAAGGTGTTATACAATGCAATCCTTCCTCCCTCTAGAATTTTTGTTTCTGAGTGA